AGGAATGCAATTTCCTGAGTGGTCAGTGCATTCAAATGCTGAGTTTCACAAAATTTCTTCAAGGATTTCTCTAGAGACCCCGCGTTGTACTTGGTGAACCATTTTTTCAGACGTTGCACATGTTCAAGGGGGCAATGGTATTGGGTAGGACTACCATCAAAAAGACTGTGATGGTAGACACACTTCGAAACACCCTCACCTTCCAGAGGCGCCATATCAGGGCTGCCGAAGTCATTAAAATCCTCAATTGGTACTTCATTCTGGAGAATTTGCTGTAGCCAGTTCTTCTTCTCTGCACCTTGGACGTAAATGTGTGAAACATTTTTCAGAATATTATTCACATATTCACTCAATGTCTCGTATTTGATATCTCCAGGAGTGTTCCAATGTAGCCCATGGTAGTGACGTGACAGCCACTGATTCACTTCTTTGTACTTGGGAAGCAATTCATCCCATTTATGTGGTGGATCCACTAAAACTGCCATATGCACGAACTTTCCATCACCATCAAGTTCTAGCGCGGAAATTGCGAATTCTTTTACAACAAATTCGTTGCCAAAATTTTTGAAACCTTCAATATCAATGACCACTGCCATATTGTAAGAGTAACTGTGAATGTTGCTCAATCCTCTAGCAATCAACTACCACTGACTAGCTTGGGTGGATTGTGTACACATCTCCAGAATGTTCGAGGGCGTGGGGACACCAACTTGGTCACGTTTTCATAATGTTAGTTCAAAAAATACCTATCCGACTTTATGGCCTCTCGATACTGAGAAAGCTGAAACCGTTGAGAATTTTCAGAATTTTTTTCCATTGAATTTCTCAGTAAACATCTTTTCATACAATTGAACCTCACCCGCCCAGTCACGTATTCTTAATATTAATACAATATTCATTCAGATGGACTGGTGCTGACATTTTTATAGATTCCAAGTTCTCCGGCTGCATGATGAAAAAAAAAATGTGATTGGAGGGGGGGGGGGGATCTCTCGCTGGGTAAATGAGATCCTTATAGCTTATAAGATATCTCCTCCCCAGTGGAGAGCTCATTTTGATTCTGTGACGTGAGTGTTAAAGTGCTCTACCTTTGTGATGTCTGTGGATGCTGACCAACCAACAAGTAATAGAATTTCAACTTGTGAAGTAATCACAATTCGTCAATTTATTCAAAAGTTGGAAACTTCGGAGAGGATGAAGCGAGATTTGCAATGGGATGCAATTGAATCGATCAGCTCGTCAAATGGAGAGCCAGAGATTGGAAACTTTACAGACAGTGATGATGATGATAATGCTTGAGATGCTCCTACCCCATTAGATCCCGACACCATCTCACCTGATGTCAGTGAAAACGTGGATGATTCGCCAGAGAGTTCAGCACCTGTGGGGAAGGGGATGGTAGACTCTCCCGCAAGCCCGGACCCCGAGTCTCCAGAGAGTCCAGCAGCTGTAGAGAAGCCGACTGTAGACTCTCCGGCAAGCCCGGACCCCGAGTGTCCAGAGAGTCCAGCAGCTGTGGAGAAGCCGACTGTGGACTCTCCAGCAAGCCCGGACCCCGAGTCTCCAGAGAGCCCAGCACCAGAGGAGAAAGGACTTGTAGACTCTCCGGAGAGCCCAGCACCTGAGGACTCTAATTCAATGGAGATGGATCCACCTGACTCTACTATATCAGACGTAGCACCAGTGATTCCAGTGAATGTTGAGACTGCACCACCCAATTCAGCGGATGACACAGAACCATTTGTTCGAGTGGAGGAAGCTGCCTGTCCACCAGCAGATGATGATGATAATGATGATATGGAACCTGTTCGAATTTTCGTGCCCGAAGAATGGGAAGGTGTGATGTCTGAAAGAGCTATGATGAAAAAGCTGAGAGAAATCATTAATCGTCATTATAAAGTTGGTGGAACTTTTGTCACAATGGGAGATGTTCGAGCCAAGCTGATCTTCTGTCCTCATGGAAATATTTACTTTCGACCAATGGGATCATTTAAACATCCCAACCGATTGTCAACCAATATTAAAATCTATCCAGAGGTAACTTAATAACAAAATTCTACCATCTTATTAATCTGCTAACTCAATTATTAATTTCTTTTATTTTTTGTCTGTTTCAGTTGTAATTTCCGAGGGAGAATTATTTTTAAAACGTGTCTTCTACCATCTCACGATTAACCAATGAAAAATTTTATGACTTGCGTTCTGATATTTTTTTTTTTAAATTAATAAAATTGAAATGTTCAACTAAAAAAAAAAATTGGAAAATATTATTGTAATAATCTATACTTCGAAAACTCTGTAATATTATTCTGCAAAGATATCTAGGCATATATATGTATTGAATAAAGAATATTTTTCTCCACTTGAAATCTCTGTCAATGCTCCATCCACCAGATGTAAACATTTACAGTTTACGCGCCAGACACCCAGAGTAAGACAGGCAACTTTTTGAGGCTCAGACGCTTGAGCGACTGAGAGAGATAGCGAAAGAGTGGGGGATCATGTGGCGACTGGCCCAACGTTGTCTTGACGCCTCGCTTCGTCAGTACAAATAACGAAAGCGAAGCAATAAGTAAGTGTCGTGAAAGTGAAAAATTTTTTAGGGAATTTCATCGTGTCATCAGTGAATTATAATAATTAACGATTGTGTTCTATGTTTCAGTGAAACTTGAAGTTTACATTTTCCCAGATCTTGACCTGAGACGGGAGTGGGAGGAGGATGATATGAGAATGGAGGAGTGGCGGCTGGGGGAGGTAGAAAGGGTTGGGGAGGACTTCACCAGGTACTGGGGCCTGGTGGAACGTCTCCAGGTACCCATGGATTTTATCATTAAATTCATGGCGTACCTGGGCCAGAATTTTTTCGCCAACAAGGTAAAATATTAACAATCAATTATAATGTCTTGCTCCTCCTTCTGGACTTAATACATATATTATTAATTTTTCTGTTAACAGGAATCGCAGCTGCACCAGGAGATGAGAAAGTTCTTGAACTTCTTGCTCCTGGTAGGCAGAGAAATTGAGGCCCTGGAGATGTTGCCTCACGCGGAGGGCATCGCGGCAGCCGCCGTGATGATCCTGGACGCGCAGCAGCACTATGGCAAGTGAAGTAGGTAAAATTCATTTCTCTCTGATTATCTTTTTTTAAAAAACTAATGAAATTTATTTCGTATGTTCCAGCTGCAAGCAGATCTCCAGGGAACCTTTTTTTATATATTTTAGTTTTTTATATTTCGTAATTAGTATAAGTTTCTTATTATATTTTGTTTTTTTATATTTTTTTATATATTGTGACCTTGGCCGGGAAATCAAAATATAATAACTCCCGGTGAAGTCACGAATAGAGAAAATAAATGAATAAGCGAATGATTTTGTAGGGGAAATTACTTGATATTCACGGGGGGACCTGAAATGAGAAAAGAGGGGGGGGGTGAATAATTACTCGGGCGGATAATGGTAATAAATGTCATCTATTTTAAATAAATGGAAATTCTGAATAGGATAATTCGCATAACATAAAATCCACAATTGTGGCCTTTTCTTAATAACTAGTCAAGGGTGGGGGGTAAAGGCAGCCAGCTTGCGACACACTCTTAATTAACATTAGAAACGGAAGGGGTGAGTCTACTTCTGCAAAAAAGGGGGGAGAAGTGAGGGGTCCTAATAGAAAAGTATCAATAATTAGGGGGCTTGAATTATAACACAAAGGAATTTCCGGGACACCAGAAATAATAAATATTGAATACTTATAACAATCGAATTAAGAGACTCCCCGTGGGGGGGGAATATTATTACAGGGGTTTTGGTAGTACTTGTTGGGGTAGGAAAGGTAAAAAACTTACTTACCAGTTGACTGTTGACTATCATGAGTTATTCATTTACCTTGACCCTGTCGGGTCGATCTTCTACACTAGAAGCATGCTATTTTCCACCCATTGAATGATCACCAGAGAAATTGTATAGTGTGGGGCTTGTCCAATTTCTCACCTACAATTCAATTCCTAATATCGATGAAGGATGTAATAAATTCAGCATTGAAAAAGACGGATTGATTATAAAATTGACTATACCCACTGGAAACTATGAAATTACTGATATTGCAAATTTCTTGAAAGATCGATTATCAGTCTATGGAATTCCATTTACTTTACGGGCAAATGATCAGACGCTCAAGACGGTCATTGAAGTATCCAAGGATGTGGGGATAAATTTCAAACCGTAGGACTCCATTGGGCAACTGCTGGGTTTTCAAGGACTAATTCCAGCCCATTCACCATTCTAAGAATCGTGTACACCTCCAAGCTTCATTCATGTGAACTCTCTACGTATTGAGTGTAATCTAACTGCAGAAGCCTACATTAGCACTCGCCGCATGCATACAATTCACGAATTCTCCCGAAGCATTCCACCTGGATATAAGATCATTGAAACGCCTGCCCAGGTCGTTTACTTGCCAATCGTGGCGCAGCCAATAGACCACCGGCAATTGAGGATTGTGGATCAAGACGATCATCCTGTGAATATCCGCGGCAAAGTAGGTACCATACGGCTCCATATAAGAGCTCATTTAATAATGGGTATTGTGTTTGAGGGGGGGAAAGTTGGTTGCAGTTATAAAAGTACGGTCTGATGTCGGCAAGCGAACAGTCGTCGAGTGCATCTCACGAAGCTGACATCGCAGAAGTTCCTGTGGACTCTGGGCCTAAGAATTCGCGGAAAAGGAGGAAAGTGAAGGTTTGCTGTGTCTTCATCGCCTGCTGTTATTGCCATCTGCCATGGAAGAGATCCTGAATATTCAGAAGCGGATAATCTTTGATGAGTCCATTGCTCATTATGAGATTCATTCGCACCAACCATTTGCATCGTCTTCCTTCAGCAACAATGACGAAATCCGTATTTCCGTACAACACCAGGATCTCTATGTACTGCCTTGCAAGAGTTCATTGCATATTTGTGGTAGATTGACGAAAGCTGATAATACACTCGTTGCAAGTACACAACTTGTGAATAATGCAATCTGTCATTTATGCGAGGAAATACGCTATGAATTGAATTCTGTGGAACTCGATAGGTGTAAAAATGTTGGTTTGACAACATTAATGAAAAATTACGTCTTCCAGAGTCCTAGCCAGACGGCCAGAGTTCTAGCCGTACGGCTAGGATTTTCTTATTGAAAATGCGGGCTGGAGGATTGATAGCGAGAAGAAAATAACTGATGAAGCACAATAGTTTGATGTATGAATTACCTTGAGCATGATTTTAGGATTCGCTGAGGATTATCAGAGAATTGTTGTGAATGCAAAGCATGAGCTAATCATATCACGTTCACACAGTGACTTTAATGCTATAATCCAAGATAATGATGGACGGCAGGCTGAACCATTTAATATCACAATCACCAAGATCAAGTGGATGTTGCCCTACATTAAACCTGCTGACACTCGAAAAGTACAGCTTCTCAATCAGATTTCAAAAGACACCGTGGTGCCGATTAGCTTTCGCTCTTGGGAATTGTACGAGTATCCTCTGCTGCCGAGCACAATGAAACATGTCTGGACTATGAAATGTTCAACGCAATTGGAGAAACCGCGTTACGTCATCCTCGGTTTCCAAATAGCTAGAAAAAATCAGGCTCTGAAAGATGCAAGTGCATTGAATCATTGTAATATTCGAGAAATCAGGTTATTGTTGAATTCGCAAAGTTATCCCTATGGAAATTTGAGTTTGGATATTGCACACAACCAATCCGCTCTTCTCTACGATATGTGCACCAGCTTCCAAGCCTTCTATTACCATAAAGAGGCAGAACCACTATTCAGCAGAGTCGACTGCTTGAAAACAGCACCACTCATTGTCATCGATTGCTCCAAGCAGAATGAGTTCTTGAAATCCGGACCTTTGGACATTCGTTTGGAGTTTGAATCATCAGAGATCTTCTATCCCAATACCGCAGCCTACTGCTTGATCCCACACGATCGAATTGTCGAATACAGCTTACTCACCCGCAGCGTCAAGAAACTTATTTGAACAAGAAAGATGTAATCATTCAGCTGAATAAATAAATAAATAAACAATAATTATTGGAAAAGAAAACCTTTTTATTTCTCTTTAATAACATCACGACCAAGAGCTGAGTCTGCCTCGGTTTTCAATGATTCAAACATTATGTTTACACCGAGTTTGAGGTCATGTAGAATGCATAGCATAGCCGCTGCTGGACTTTTCTCATGCAGATTTGGCCCTCTCTTTCTCTTCAATCCACTGCTCCATGAACTGACCCAACGATCTCGCACAAAATTATCATCCACTCTCACTATCAATTCTTTGATACAGTTGAGAATAACAGTCAGTTTTTTCCCAATGTGGATGGATGATGACAGGAGTGAGTCCTCTGAAGCATCTTCTTCATTGTTCTTTCTCACAGCAGCATAATTCCTCTCCAAAAACAGCACATCACTGATGACATTCCAGATACTTTCCGGTGGAATATCACCGAAATGCTTCTCACTATATCCTCAAAGTCGGGACAGTACGGCGGAGTCCTATTCAAATAGCGTATGTTTTCTGGTGAGAGATTCTACATGATTATAACGAAAGTGCTCCCTAAAAATTCACGATTGAATTCACGAGGATCTTCTTATGCCCTCCGCCAATCTATCCAAATTTCGTGTCATCTGAAATTTTATTGTTGGAAAGCATTATGGATTTCTTGAAATGCGCTGAGAAATCCTTCATACCAACTATCTGATAAATTCTTATCCACGCAACTATGCATTTCTTCAATCTCCACCATCTCAGCTGATGAGGTGAATGACTTTTGCACTTGCTCACATGAACTTTTTCCATCACTATGTTATGATCCCAGCGAGGTCACAACCAATGTTTATGAGACGCGTACGTGCTAAACACACAAAGCATTCGACATTCACTGAGCCTCAGGAAATTTTATTGAAAAATTAAATTGATTGACGTCTGTTTTATTATCATTAACTAATTGTCATCTATTTGAATAAACTAGATGATCCATTTCAATTTTCTGGAGACATTGAGTTATAAAAAGACCAATTAATTTCTTTTTGTTCTGCGTCATAAGTGATCGATGTAAAAACAAAAAGGAAAGATAATTTCGAACTATTAGACTTGT